CGTATTCGTTCGTTCGTTCGTTCGTTCGTTCGTTCGTTCGTTCGTTCGTTCGTTCGTTCGTTTCGTTCGTTCGTTCGTTCGTTCGTTCGTTCGTTCGTTCGTTCGTTCGTTCGTTCGTTTCGTTCGTTCGTTCGTTCGTTCGTTCGTTCGTTCGTTCGTTCGTTCGTTCGTTCGTTCGTTCGTTCGTTCGTTCGTTCGTTCGTTCGTTCGTTCGTTCGTTCTTCGTTCGTTCGTTCGTTTCGTTCGTTCGTTCGTTCGTTCGTTCGTTTTCGTTGTTCGTTTCGTTTTCGTTCGTTCGTTCGTTCGTTCGTTCGTTCGTTTCGTTCGTTCGTTCGTTCTTCGTTCGTTTCGTTCGTTCGTTTCGTTCGTTCGTTGTTCGTTCGTTCGTTCGTTTCGTTCGTTCGTTCGTTCGTTCGTTCGTTCGTTCGTTCGTTTCGTTCTTCGTTCGTTCGTTCGTTCTTTCGTTCGTTCGTTCGTTCTTCGTTCGTTTCGTTCGTTCGTTCGTTCGTTCGTTCGTTTCGTTCGTTCGTTCGTTCGTTCGTTCGTTTTCGTTTCGTTCGTTCGTTCGTTCGTTCGTTCTTCGTTGTTTCGTTTCGTTTCGTTCGTTTTCGTTCGTTCGTTCGTTCGTTCGTTTCGTTCGTTCGTTGTCGTTCGTTTCGTTCGTTCGTTCGTTCGTTGTCGTTCGTTCGTTCTTAGTTCGTTCGTTCGTTCGTTCGTTTCGTTCGTTTTAGTTAGTTCGTTCGTTCGTTCGTTCGTTCGTTCGTTTCGTTAGTTCGTTCTTCGTTCGTTCGTTCGTTCGTTCGTTAGTTCGTTCGTTCGTTCGTTCGTTCGTTCGTTCGTTCGTTCGTTCGTTCGTTCGTTCGTTCGTTCGTTCGTTTTCGTTCGTTCGTTAGTTCGTTCGTTCGTTGTTCGTTCTTTGTTCTTTAGGTTCTTCGTTCGTTTTCGTTCGTTCGTTAGTTCGTTCGTTAGTTCGTTCGTTTCGTTAGTTCGTTAGTTCGTTCGTTCGTTGTTAGTTCGTTCGTTAGTTCGTTCGTTCGTTCGTTCGTTAGTTCGTTCTTGTTCGTTAGTTAGTTAGTTAGTAGTTAGTTAGTTAGTTCGTAGTTAGTTAGTTGTTTGTTAGTTGTTAGTTAGTTAGTTAGTTAGTTAGTTCGTTGTTCGTTAGTTAGTTCGTTAGTTAGTTAGTAGACCGATAGAGCTGAAAATGTGTGCCCTGCCTGCTATCGTATGGTACTGACATTGGTCATTCAAATCGGAAGACATTGATTTTAAAAAATTCCCCATATGTATCTCAAGATATTTCTTGTAAGCATTTTCTCTTCTTATGCGTATTAAAACTCCCGATAACATATAAGTGATCACAACTGATCGATATATAAAATATTATATTGGCTTCATAAATAATTATAATTACAATATTTGATAGTAGTGGGCCATTAAACATGATAAAATCGATAACAAGCAACTATAACGTTAACATCGATTATATTTTCTACTACTGTTTTAAATATTTAAACTTCAAGGTTTATGATTTGACAAAATCAAAAAAAGTAATTAATTGAAAACGTTCACAGCCATTAAAAGAGTTAAAAAAATAGATTAATTATTTGCTACAAACAAATCACTAAAAGCAGCAGGGAAAACAATTATAAACAAAATACTTGAGAACAGAAAAAAAATAAGGAAGGGAATTTCAAATATCAATATTTAAAAATACAAACAAAACTCAAATAAATTAGATTAGAACGTAGATAGAGATTTACATGACAAATATCACATTACTTAACAAACTACCAGTACCTAATGAAGTGAGTAATCGAGTAAATACATAGTTAAAAACAATTAAACAGCAAAACTAAATAAATATTTGATTTAAACTTAAAAACACTTGAACTTAAGCATAACTCTTCATAACGGTCAAAAACAACTCTTGAGTTTGGCAGGCGGAAAGTTAAATATTCTTTTTTTTTTCAAATGCAAATATTTAAGCGGTCAATGGACTCAATTGTAAACTATAAAATAGAGATTTTAATAAAGTTGTTTTAGAGGGGGCAGAAAGCTAATACAATTAAAGTTAAAACAAGATGAAACTTGGATAAAACTTTTTTCTAAATATCATTACGGTTGAATGACATTGGTGTGGCGCCATATGTTAATGCTAATGAGGAATAAAAAAAGCGGAATAAAACCATAAACTAATGATCTATTTTGACGAGAAATGCATAATTTTATTTAATTTAAAACCAGTTTAAATTTAGTAGCAATAATTATAATAAATAAAATTAACGGATTTTATGTGATTTGACAGTTAGTTAAGTCTAGTAAACAAAGACAATGACATTTGTAAAAAAAATAACAAGTTCATATAATAAAATTTGAATTTTTAATAGAAAATAACATTATTTACGGTTTAGTACTTAATTGTTACAATTATTTTAATTATTTCAATTGTCAAAGTTTTTTTTTTTGACAATAATAACTGTCAAGTTTGACATTTAACATAAGAATTAAGCCTATTATTGATAGTTGTAGTTTAAGCATGTCTAATGTTGAATTATTATTTCTAAAATTTTACAATTTAAACTGATTTTAAAGATTAATGGTCATTGTTCTCAAAATGTTTTTAGTTTTGTTTTTTTTTTCTTTATGGTTTCTTAAAACAAACAAGTTAATTTTTCAAAATAACACTGACATTGAACGTCACTTGTTTCAAAAATAAAAAAAATCAAATAGTTTTGGAAGTATTAAAGTGTTGACGAGTGATGATGACGTATTAATTGAAATCATTAGATTGAAATTGTGGTTTTTGCAGTAACAAAATAGTTTTTGACATTTCAATGATTAAGCTTAAGCATGGCGTTTTATTGGCTATTAATTTTATTTTTATGGGCAATTAATTAATTGATTTTGAATTGATGAAAAGTTTTATAAAAACAAATTCTTAAAAATTTTTTTCAATATAAAAAGTCTTGTAAAGCTGCTAATAGTAAAATATTCTAATATAATATCTAATCGAAAAATATCTTGACCAATTCCAAATAACGAAATGTCTTGACAATTTTTTCTAAAGGAAAACGTCTTGACAGAAAAATGTCTTCAACATTTATTGCAATATCTACAGAAAATTTTGTTTACAATTTTCTAATAAGAAGACAATTTTTTTGGCAATTTTCTAACAGAAAAGTGTTTTGAAAATTTACTAACAGAAAAATGTCTTGACAATATTCTAACAGAATAATGTTTTGACATTTTGACAGTTTTCAAACCGAAAACATGTCTTAAAAATTTACTAACAGAAAAATGTCTTGACAATTTTTTAATTTTCAAAGCAAAACATTTCTTGAGAATTTCCTAACAGAAAAATATCTTGACAATTTCCTAATAGAAAAATGTCCTGATAATTTTATCAATTTCCTAAGAGAAAAATATCTTTATGTGCTAACAAAAAGATGTCTTGACATTTATAATTATAAGCTTTAGTTTAAGTGTATCACTGTAGTTATTGCAGTTTGAATTGAGAAAAAGATGCTCCGATTTTTTCTTTATTTAAAAAAAATGTCAAGATATTTTTCTATTAACCCGTGCCTAGATTAGACAAATGTTGATCACAGAACTTTACAAAAATTGTCTTAACAATTGTTCTGACAACTTTGTCATAACGATGCTATAACTTTAATAAATGTTTACTATACCTGCTAATTTTTATCATGATAAAAAGTTGATGACGTTTAGCATAATAAAAATTTATCAAATTTAGACACGGGATTACAACATTGACATCAGATTTTTATGTTAAATCATTTTGAAGATTTTTTTTATGAAAAAAAGTTTTATCTGAAAATTGTTAAGACATTTTTTATTCGAATGTTGCCAAAACAAATTTCTACTAGAAAATTGTCAAGACAGATTTCTATTAGCAATTTGCCAATACATTTTTCTATTAGAAAACTATCAATATATGTATTTTTATATTAAAGAACTGTCTACACATTTTTTTTACAAAAATTATTAGGTAGATAAATTATCAAGACATCAGAAAATTGAACAGAAAAATGTCTTAACACTTTTGACAATTTTTCAACAGAATAATATCTTGACAATTTTCCAACGGAGAAATGTTTTGACAAGTTTACTAACAGAAAAATGTCTTTACAATTTACTAATTTAAAAATATCAATGTTTTAGCAGAAAAATGTTTTGAAAATTTTTTTACAGAACAATTCTTAAAAACTTTTCAACACAAAAATGTCTTATCAATTTTCCAACAGAAAAATGTATTTACAATTTTGTCTGGAAATTTTTCTTGTAGAAAATATTTTCACAATTTTTCTATAAGAAAATGTCTAGCCTATGATTTAATAGCAAAAATGTCTTGACATAAATTTTATATCTTTATAATTCTTTAATAGAAATATGTCTTGAAAGTTTACTAAAAAAATATTTTCTCACAGAAAAATTTCTTGACGATTTTTTTAGTATAAAGCTGTCTTAACAATTTCGTAACAGAAAATTGTTTTAACATGTTTTTTAATAAAAATATTAAACATTTTCGAATAGAAAAATGTCTTAACAATTTAGGAAAATATCTTGGAAAATATTTAAAAATTGTTTTCTAACAGGAAAATTTTTTAAAATTATTTTCTAGACAAATGTCTTGACATATTTTTAAGGGAAAACTACCTTGACAGTTCTGTCTTGGCGCTTTCCTAAAAGAAAAATGTATTTTCTCAGAGAAAAATTTATTGAAATCTTTTTTAGTAGATAGCTGCCTTCACAATTTCGTTATGGAAAACAGTTTTAAGAGATTCAATTAACAATTTTGTAATAGAAAACTAACTGTCTTAACAGATTTATTAACATAAAAATGTCTTGACAAGTTTCTTTTAGAAAAATGTAATTTCTTATATCAAAAATTCTATACTTGTCACTTGTTCTTTTAATTATTATATAGCTAAGTCCATAGTTAAAATAATACTAATATCTACCCTTCAATTTCCTTTCAGCATGTCTCTTAAGCTCTTCATACTAGTGCTAACGGTAGCACTTTTTGTAACGATGCCCTTAAAAACCGGTAAGCGGCTCTGCAGTTCTAATATCCGATATAACAATGACAGTAATGGTGGAATTATCATCACGCTATCCATTCTGTAAAATGCATACAGATCGGTTAGTAAATACAACAAATCTGAAATAAAAATAAACAATAAACTTTTCCTTATTCCTTTACAGAGGTGATATACAACGTATGTTATTAAATTCCGATCCCAGACGTATAAGACAAGTACCAAGAGAATCGGTAATGGAACTAGAAGAAGTATGTTTAAGTGCCGGTTCTCAAGGGCCAGAGTTTCGAGGAAGTTTAGGTTTTATATATCCGGGAACTAAATGGTGTGGACCGGGTGAGTTTAGAAAAAGAAATTATAAATTGATTAAAATTTTATTGAATTATTTCACTTTTTTGTATAAAAAGGTACCGCTGCTACCGATTACAATGACTTGGGCTATCATGCCGATGAGGATCGCTGTTGTCGGGAACATGACAACTGTCCGAATGTCTTAAATGTGGGAGAATGTAGGCGTGGTCTATGCAATACCGGTACATTTACAAGATCCCATTGTGATTGTGATGCCCGCTTAAGACGTTGTCTGCAGTCACTTAATACCGGTAAGTTTTAATTATAAATTTTATTCAAAAAAATGTAAAATAACTCAAATTATTTTATCTTTATAATACCTATAGAAACTGCTAATACCTTGGGCGCTATATTCTATAATGTAGTACAAGTGACCTGTTTCCAGGAACGCAGTCCCTGTTCGGCACGTCAAAGGTTTGAGAATTTCTTTCATAGAGCCAATCAATGTGACATTGAATATCGTTCAGCCGATTTATATGTACCACCCAATGCTGGCAATCTGATACAGAAGATCTTATCCAAACCCTATGGTTTTACGAATCAATTTTCCCCACCCAATAACTATATAACAGGACGTTCAATATCCGATGCTAATCCATTTACCAATGTTAAACGTCGTGTGGGTGTAACTTTGGCTTCGGTGGGTCTGGCGGCAAGAAATTTATTTCGCGAAATAGTTCAAAGTCCTCGAGTCGTGTGGGATAGTTTAAATTCTCCCGTTAGCCGTGATTTGCCGGCAAATTCGAATTATTATAGTAGATATTCACAGCCACCACCAAGAAGTTATGAGTATTCGAGACCTTCGTCGGGTTATCACTATAGATCGGCTGTAACGCCGAATAATTTTTGGCATTATTGAAAAAAAACCAAAGACTGAATTATAAGTTTTAGTTTATGTTACTACTTTAAGTATTTCATCGTATTTAGTTATTGTAGTTTGAATTGAGTAAGAGTTGGTCCGATTTTTTCTTTATTTGAAAAAAATGGCAAGACATTTTTCTGTTAACCAGTGTCTAGATTAGATAAATATTTATCACAGCACTTTACAAAAGTTGTCTTGACAATTGTCCTGATAACTTTGTCATAACGATGCTATAACTTTAATAAATGCTGACTATTCTTGCTAATTTTTATCATGATAAAAAGCTGTTGACGTTTAGCATAATAAAAATTTATCAAATCTAGACACGTTGACAAGAAATTTTTATGTTAAACAATTTTGAAGATTTTTTTTAATGAAAATTGTAAGAAAAAAAGTTTTATTAAAAAATTGTTAAGACATTTTTTATCAGAATTTTGTCAAAACAAATTTCTATTATAAAATTGTTAAGACATATTTCTATTGGCAACTTGACAAGACATTTTTTCATCAGAAAACTATTAATATATTTTTATATTAGAAAACTGTCAACACATTTTTGATTAGAAAATGTATATGCTAGACGAAATTGTCAAGCCATTTTTATCAGAAATTTGTTAAGACATATTTTTATTAGAAAATTGTAAAGGAATTTTTCTATTATAGAAATTCTCAAGACACTTTTCATTTATCAGCAAATTCAAGGCATTTTTCTATCAGAAAATTATCCAGACATTTTTTATTAGAAAATTTATCTGGCAGATAAATGTAAAGAAATTTTTTCTAAGAAAGTTGTTAAGACATTTTTTATCAAGAAATTTTTATTGTAGTAAATTGTTAAGACATTTTTCTATTGGAAAGTTGTCAAGACATTTTTATTTTAGAAAAATATTAAAAAATTTTTAATTTAATAAATTGTCAAGACATTTATCTATTGTAAAGTTATTAAGCCCTTTCATATCAGAAAATTGTCCAGATTATTTTCATTGAGACAATTGTGAAGACATAATAATCATCAGAAAATTATCACAACATTTTTTATCAGAAATTTGTCACAACATTTCTCAATTGGAAAAATTGTCAAGATATTTTTCTGTCAATGTATAATGTTAAGACAATTTTCTATCAGAATATGAAAAATGTTCTGAAAGGGAATTGTGAAGAATTTGACCATCTCTGCTCCATAATTATTTATGTAGAAATCCTTATACTTTTGATTTTAAATTTTAGTTTATAATTGCCATATTATCTCCTTAGTTTTTAAATTATTTTTAAGTTCACTCCCCAGTATTTTAATTATAATTTCCAAAAATAAAATTTATTAAAAATCAATTTTTGTTTTATTATTTTTAAAATTTTAATTAAAAGTTTTGTTTGTTTTTAAAGTAAAACTTAAAAACCCTTATAAATAAAAATTCTTATCTTTCCAGAGCTGGCTACAATCAAACCGAACAAGATCAAATCTGTGCCAAATGGCAATATCAACCATCTGAAAAATATGTACCCAGTGCTCCGGGTCATAATTAAACTTTAAAACCAACATATAGAAACGTATCAAATCTGAACGATTAAACACCGCAATTTACAACGAATCTAATTTATTTTCGAAGACAAACGATGATATTTTGTCAAATATTTTTATAATAAAATAACCAAAAAAAAAAAAAATATATATTAGCAATTAATTATTATTTAATAAAAAACAATAAAGAAAATTAACAACAACGTAGCTGTAATGTAAACTTTTAGCTTGATAAATTATTATTTTTCTACAACAAAGTGATACACAACAAACAAACAAACATCCTGAAAATGTAACGCAACCCGTCTAATGATCTCAAGTATAAGTTATTATATGAGATGTATCTTTTTAAATTGTAGTTACTAGAAAAAAATAGTGTAGTTGTTGAAATATTCAGAATTATTTACAAATAAAAAAGCAATTGAAAGAAAATATTCAAATTGTGTGTATAATTTTAAGTCGAGTTTGAAACGTTATTTCCATTACTTGTGGCCTCATTTCCATTTATAAAAAAAAAAATTTTGCTGATCCCGCGAAATCATCAAAATTTGTTCGGATTGACACACAGACACGTACATCTCTTACCGGGACGATTTTGCTGAGATATCCCATTTCTAAGTAGCATGCTCAGTTCATATAAAAAACGGCTATTGGAAATTTTGCTGAGCCTCAGTAAAATTGCCAATTTCCAACACAAAAGATACAACCCGTGGAAATTTTGTAATAACGAACTTATGGGTTTATGACTTAGCTAAGACAAATTTACGTTATTTCTGCATGCTAAAGAGGGCGCTACTGTTGCAGTTATTGTGTTAAAGCAGAGCAAAGTATTGTGGGTACAACAGTTTCAGGTAAGACCGTTCTACTTTTCTTACTAACTTACTAACTAACTAACTAACTAACTAACTAACTAACTAACTAACTAACTAACTAACTAACTAACTAACTAACTAACTAACTAACTAACTAACTAACTAACTAACTAACTAACTAACTAACTAACTAACTAACTAACTAACTACTAACTAACTAACTAACTAACTAACTAACTAACTAACTACTAACTAACTAACTAACTAACTAACTAACTAACTAACTAACTAACTAACTACTACTAACTAACTAACTAACTAACTAACTAACTAACTAACTAACTAACTAACTAACTAACTAACTAACTAACTAACTAACTAACTAACTAACTAACTAACTAACTAACTAACTACTAACTAACTAACTAACTAACTACTAACTAACTAACTAACTAACTAACTAACTAACTAACTAACTAACTAACTAACTAACTAACTAACTAACTAACTAACTAACTAACTACTAACTAACTAACTAACTAACTACTAACTAACTAACTAACTAACTAACTAACTAACTAACTAACTAACTAACTAACTAACTAACTAACTAACTACTAACTAACTAACTAACTAACTAACTAACTAACTAACTAACTAACTAACTAACTAACTAACTAACTAACTAACTAACTAACTAACTAACTAACTAACTAACTAACTAACTAACTAACTAACTAACTAACTAACTAACTAACTAACTAACTAACTAACTAACTAACTAACTACTAACTAACTAACTAACTAACTAACTAACTACTAACTAACTAACTACTAACTAACTAACTAACTAACTAACTAACTAACTAACTAACTAACTACTAACTAACTAACTAACTAACTAACTAACTAACTAACTAACTAACTACTAACTAACTAACTAACTAACTAACTAACTAACTAACTAACTAACTAACTAACTAACTAACTAACTAACTAACTAACTAACTAACTAACTAACTAACTAACTAACTACTAACTAACTAACTAACTAACTAACTAACTAACTAACTAACTAACTAACTAACTAACTAACTAACTAACTAACTAACTAACTAACTAACTAACTAACTAACTAACTAACTAACTAACTAACTAACTAACTAACTAACTAACTAACTACTAACTAACTAACTAACTTAACTACTAACTAACTAACTAACTAACTAACTAACTAACTAACTAACTAACTAACTACTAACTAACTAACTACTAACTAACTAACTAACTAACTAACTACAACTAACTACTAACTAACTAACTAACTACTAACTAACTAACTAACTAACTAACTAACTAACTAACTAACTACTAACTAACTAACTAACTAACTAACTAACTAACTAACTAACTACTAACTAACTAACTAACTAACAACTAACTAACTAACTAACTAACTGACTACCTATGTTTTTTTTGTGTTCAACTACGAAAAAACCACCCCTTTAAAACACGGTAACCCTGCCTGGAATTCTCCAGTTCTCTTTCGCTCTCTCATTTAACTATGTTTCATATTTCACTTTGTTTCCGCAACAGCACACTCCGACAATTTATAACGTTTGAGTACGTGTGTGTAGTTAACTTTCGTTCGTTTCAAACTCCGAACAAAAATAAATGCAAAAACAAACTCGCTCGCTCTCATACTCACACAAAAATTCGGTTTATCTCTGTTTGTTTGTGTTATTGTTGTTGGTTGCGCCGTGTATGAATGGAAGTCAATACAAAATATTTCAGTTTTCAATGAGCATTCGGGCGGTATTAAACGAAATAACGGAAACTTTGTAAAACGTTACTTTTTCGCTTTGCAATTTTAAACGGGAGTATACGTTGATTTCTAAAATATACTACATTTTGTATATTTTTTGTGAATTGTTGTTTTTTTTTTACATAATAAATCTAACTTAAACGTCAACAACGACGAGTATTATTATCTGTATACTATATAGACGATTTTTTTGATTACAACAATTTAAAAGTATTGTTGTTGTTGCTAGCGTAATAGTAAAAACGAAGTATATACGACGTTTAAGTTGCCTGTGGTGACATTCAACAAATATACAACAAAAACAACAAGAAAAAAAAATAAATAAAAACCACAGCAACAATTACCGGGAAATGTAGACAACAACAAAAATTGAGAAAATATATGGAAACAAAATTAAACTAAATAAATCTGAAAAGTGAGTTGAATGGTTTTGGAAACGGGGTGTTAAGTGTAAAAAAGGGTTCATATTTCAAATAATGTATAAATGTATAAATAATTAGTTGAAATAGCTAATTTGTCTGTCTATAGAAAAGAAAATAAAACAAATATCTATTTGCGGTGAATTATTTTATAAATAATAAAGTGAAATTGTTTATCTTTCATTCCATCTATTTAATAAACATAAAACGCAAAAATTGTATTGGCAAAAAATTAATAATAATAATAAAAACACATACGATTATTAAACAAATAAATATTTAGTTGTTTATTTAATCCAAAATCCAACAAATAATAAAACACAAATTTAATCAATTCGTTGATATGATGGAAAAATTTTGTACTTTTTGCGAAATTATTATATGTACATATTTGTAAATAAAGTGAATAATGTTTAAATTGAATTAAATATATAGACAAACCTTAGGTATATACAACATTATTTGTTTACCCGAATTTATACATATTCTATACAAACAAAAAACCCTTTTTTTTTGCACAAAATTGCAAAAATTATCACCATTAACAGCAGTGAGCGAAAAACCAGAAATTCCTTTAAAATTTATAAAAAAATAAACAACAAAACAAACACGACAGTGTACAAGTCAAGTTTACTTCAAAATTCTTTTCAAACTCTATGATTCTGTGTGTGTGTCAGGGATGAAAAACATAAAAGGTACTATTACTTATTAAGTACCAAAAATAAACTTTAGAAATAAAAAAGGAACTTTTAAATACAAATATAGTGAGATATTGAGATCATATCTTCCTTCATTAAACACTCCAGATATGTTGATCCCCTTCATTGCAAACTAATATCGAAACTGGTTCTACATAACAATAATCAATATAAATCGAAATATCTTAAGAATCTGTGGGGAGATTTGGAACATTTTTGAATCTTTGTCATCTTGTATGAAGACGTGTTAAAGTCAATTTCAATTGGAACGAGCAATATTAGTATTGATATTATATAGAGTGATCAAAGATAGAATCATCATTTTTTTGCCATTGCAAATGAAACACTATTTAGCAAGTTCATAATGAATCCAAGAGACTTTGTATGACCATAAAACCATTTGGTCGTGAAAAAATAAACCTTGACTATAAAGTCATCCTGTATAAAGACATTTTAAGACCAATCTGCTTAAACGATATTAGTATTGATGAGCATGAGCATGTATAGAATCATCTGATATTCGTAAATTGTGTGAAGCCAAAATATTATACGGAGAATACAATCAACTATTTTAAGGTTCATCACTGGAATATCGCAGAGAATTAGAAGTACCACTTGTAAAGGGTGATTTTTCTGTAAATGTGATACAAATTCTTAGCAAAGTTTGGAACAATATGAATTTTACACTAAATTCGAAACGTATAAGTTTGGATCATATTATTAGTTATCCAAATTAGTTGTGACATCAATACAGTGGCAGCAAAACACAGATATCTAAGACTTGCTGAAGAGGTCTTGAACGGCTCGACTATTAAATTATCCGAAGAAGTGAAATATCTGGGAAACATTAGCACAGCTAGCAACAACGGCTTGATATTATACAGAGAACACAATCAACTATTTTAAGGGCCATCACGGGAATATCGCAGAAATTTAGAAGTAAAGGGTGAATTTTTTGTAAATGCGATACAAATTCTTAGCAAAGTTTGGAATAATATGAATTTTACACTAAATCGGAAACGTATAAGTTTGGATCATATTATTAGTTATCCAAATTACTTGTGACATCAATACAGTGACAGCAAAACACAGATATCTAAGACTTGCTGAAGAGGTCTTAAACGGCTCGACTATAAAATTATCCGAAGAAGTAAAATATCTGGGAAATAGTTTTAAAAATATGCACCTTTAACATCCTTATTATTTATGTACCTAATCAGTGTCATCTGACAAGCATCATGTGCAGGATTGTGAATGAAGTATTGACAATGACTTCGACTTACCAAAACGATTCGAACAGTTCGGCAATTAAATTCTCTATAAATAAATATGTCAAGAATATTCATGACAAGGTCCGCATACTTTTATGTACAAGGTCATCAGCATAATGTCGATACATTCCAAAAAATAATGAGACAGATATTCATGTAATTCGATATGCATATCAGCTATCCAAAACTGGCCTCAGAGAACATCGTTAAGATCACGATGAATATGACTATGGGAGTTTCATACAAGAACCTAAATTATGATGATCTATAAGTTGTTTTTTGTGCCAACTTATAGATCTGTTCTTATAGATCAATTCGAATCGTAGATCCTCTTTATTTCAATCAAACTTTTATTACCAATATACTTTCGACATTAATGACAATTGGTAGCTATGAATGTGTTAATACTTTTTGGTATAGGGTTGAGATTTCGAATCGTTAATATGCAAAAGCTTGTTATTTTTGGACCAATAGTTAACTAAGGTTCCATCGGTCGGGCTTGCAAACGAGTGAGTACATTTTGAGACCCATTCTAATATGAACAAATTCGTCAGTGAAACATTTTTGAGTTCGAATTGTGATTGACATTTGAATCAAAGAATCAGATTAAAAACTTATTTATAAAGAAGAATCCAAATATTAAAAAAAATATTTTAAGTCCACTCATATACTGTCCTATCTATAAGACATACATACATATATAACTGAATTCTATTGGTCTTCTCCTATACGATGCAGGTCTAATGTTTTTAAATACATATAAAGTTATAAATACTAAAAATCCTAAAGAGCTCAAACAAGTTTCCAAATGTTGTGATTCAAATCAAATTGTTTGGATCAGGAAGTGTCGTAAAGATTTACTTTATATGTACAATCTAAACTTAAAAGGTATTAGAATACTATAAAATAATAAAGAGGATAATGCAGTTAAAAAAGTCTAATTCCCAATTCGCATAAGTCTTTAGCGTCCCCAAAAAAGTACTTTTTCGCATATTCCTTTCACAAAGGTATCAATTCTCAATACTCATCCCTATTCATGCATTATTTACATTTTATATGGATGTTGTTATTTGGTCTTTAACTTAAGGCTAAAATCCAGTTTTTATACTTAAGTTCCGATTTCTCTTTTTTCTTCGCTTAATTGCATCAAAGAGAAAAGAGAGTTTGAATTGTTGTATAAAAATGTATGATTTTTTTACTTCCAACACCCATTCTTTAACGTACAAAAAATGTCTAAAATCTTATACATACTACATATGTACATATAATTTTTAGCTTATCACAGAATTACCGAAATGTCACGATTCATGTAGAACTCACACTAAAACAAATGAACAAACAAACAAACACCCCAACTTATAAAGATTGGGGGCATCCTTATCGTTTTCTTATGATGTTTTTGTCTATATTATTAAGAAAATACTATAGAAAAACAAAGCAAAACAAAAATAATAATAACAACAAAAACCTGTGTTTAAAAATAAATACTAAAATCTTGAAATAAATATTTTCTTTTTAATTATATTAAAACTCTTATTGCACTTGTTTTTAATAGAGTATTTAGTGGGTTTAGTGATCTATTTTATATTTATGCTCTTAATCGTGTTTAAAATATCAATTGTCATCTTTTCTATTGCCTTTTTTAAAATTTACCTTTTCTGTTGTTTCTTTTTTTCTCTATTTTTATGTTTATAATTCCTTTTTTTTTTTTTTTTGCAAATTTTTAACCAAATAGTGAGAGTTTTTTATCTTTCTTTTAATTTGTTGTTGTTATTTTTATGTTTTTGTTTAAAAAAAAGAACCTTGTATTTGATCATTGTACAAAGTGCGGTTTGATAGTGGTTTTTTATTACTAATAGAGTGTTTCTTCTTCGTCGCTTCCCCGGTATCGTTATTAAACCCCGCTGTTTGGTTTTTGTGTTTTTTTTTCACTTCCATTCATTATTGAAATTATATATTTGATAATTTTCTATAATCGGTGTGAATCATCAGTGTTTTGTAAAGAAACTAACAAAAAATAAAAATTTAAAAACAAATTGAAAAACAGTAAAAAAATAATAAATAAAAGTTAAGGTGAGAGAAACGTTGGTTATTTGAAAAAAAACGTACATAGTTTTGTTATTAAAGTAGTAATTTTACGGTAAAGATTAATTGAATTTAAAAAATATTTTTTATTCGATTTTTTTAAATTTCAGTGAGTTTTCACAAATTTAAAAGAATCTCAAAAAAGTTTTATTTTTAAAATTTGATTTACTGGTACATGACGTTTAAAATAAGTTCCATTACAAATTAATTTCATTCATTTTAACTACATAAAAATGATCTAGGGATTAACCCGAATTCAGACCACATCGGTTGACAGTTACAATTGAAGGGAAGCCTTAACACGCTAGAGTATTTTGAACCCAACGTTCTTGTAGATTTTTTATGTTAAATAGTTGATAGCTTACGGTACTATTTGCTTCTTATTCCGAAAAAGTTCTTTATGAAGTTGGACCCAACTCAATGTTAGATCACACACCCCATTCTATGGCAGCATTATGACATAGCTCAGTTTTCTTTCGGAAACACAAAACTTTTCTTTTGAGACAACGAAATCTCAGTATACATCAGATATTAGAGATTAAAGACTTCTACACTGATGTTTCAACAACTTATAACGATCATCAGCTTGGGAATATTATTTGATAACGTTTTTCAGTCTGGAATTTATGCTATCGGAATGGTCAAAAAAAGGATTTTTGGGCCTTTGTGAATAGTTGTGCTTTTATCTCTAGCAAAGACTCTCAAATTCAATAAATTAGTCCCAGTTCAAACTAGGTTAACACATGGGCAAATAGATATGGGTTCTAGGACATTGGAGCCCAATAAATGATCGAAACAGTGGCACAAATGGGTTTCAATTTCAAATATTCATTGGATTAAAAATTTTCCTAGACGAGTGTGAAATTTTGACCTTTCTTGGACCATCGTATTGGTCTCTCTTAGATTGCCCAAAATGTCTTATCTGAGTTTCAGAACATGAGAAAATTCTAAATTAAATTCAATCCACATGTGTATGCTTAATTCTCTGTCTAGACTGCAGTTTTGAAAGCTACAATGGGTGCCTGATCGAGATTTTTTCAAATTAGCTCGGTCTCTCTCACACTGTCTCATAGCTGTGACGTTTTCCGTCATAAAACTGGCAACCAAATCTCAAAACTTATTTAGTAATTACTTGAGTATTCTAAGACTCAAGCCAATTCATAAGTCTTACCCCCATTAACTCAATGTCTGGTTATATTTTATCGTAAGGTTAAATTGACAGTTTTCATACAAAAATTATTTTAACCGACGGAATATCTACCGGTTAAACGATAACCGAAGGTAGTATTAACGGGGGTTAATGTTTAAATGTCTTCCAAATTACATTCAACTCCTTATTCGGAATTCCATTACGGACTTCGAGGATATGAAATAGCTTAAGAATTTGCATTTAGGGCCAATATCATTGACCTTAAATGATATTCCGAAATTTTGGAATATTCGGATTTCCCCACTTGTGGCATTAAACATGATTGTCGTATCGTCGATCAAAGTGTTAACACAAGTGATCACCTATTGTCTCCCAAATTGCATTCAACTCCTTCTTATTCGGAATTCCAATATGGACTGCGAGGACATGAAATATATTGAGAGTTCTCTACTAACTTGTTGACCTTAAGACAGACGTAACTTTCAAATTATTATCACAACAGTAATCGGATACAAAATTTTAACTGAATTTTGAACTAGTCCCTATATCGCGAATAGTCCAAAGTTTGACATTCTGAAGACAAGACAATTTGATCTTATTTTTGTAGAAACTTTTGGAAATTCTAATTTATTTTCAAAAATCTTATTAAGCTGTTAAAATAATCTCAAACTAAAAAATTATTTTGAATTAAGAAAATTAGTTTCGGAATTTGTTTAAGCTTAAAAACTTATTTTTAAACAAAATTTTTAACATAGACTTTATTATGTATCTCAATATTTCGAGATATCGTGTCATAATGATTGTGAACTCCCATTTTTGAAGCCTTATAACAGAACAAAAACATCTTTATTTATAAAATCTGTTATGTTGTCTGAAATTCAAGTTTAAAATATTGTTTTAACTTCTGTTAAAACTTCTTCCTTCTTTGAGATATTTTAAGCTAAACTATAAATTAAACAACTTTATTTTACTGCAGACACTCTTATATGCTTCAATTTGTCTTAATTTCTCCCATAAAAATATTTTTTAAATTGTTTAAAAATCTCTTGTATCTGCAAAGATATCGTCCGTTGACGTTTTTGAATTTGAAAAGTACTGTTTAACTCCCATTTAAAACTTTGCCATGGCAACTCTTTGCATAAAATTGTGTAAATAATATTTACGATCATTCCAACAACTCCCAAGTTGCAAACGAACATGACTGATAGATAAAAAGAAATATACAGAGAAGACGATGAAGAAAAACAACAAAAAGTATTTATGTAGTTTTTTTCAATGGCAAAAACCTCAACTCAGAGATGGTAAAGTTTGTATGATTTCACATTTTTTGATACTAACTAAAGTTCAAAATAAAAGTACTTTAACCATTAGAAGCTATTTACAAATAGATTTTGACTGGATCTTAATATCTGTTTGAGTTAGAAAAGTGGTTTAGAAATTGTATAGAAATTCATCAGATTTTTTATAATTTTAATAGAAACTTAACTTTTGTATACAATTTTATTAAAATAAACCCCTAAATATTGCAATTTAGTACTTTGTAATTTAAAAAAGTACTACTTTATAGTGAAGTTATTGAAAAACAAAAAATCTACATTCCCACACCTGACCTCAAACCAGATTGCCAACCAACCAACAAGCAACAACTAAAAGAAACAAACAGTTTTAAAACGCGAACATAAAGTGAAACACGATCAAGCGAACGAAACGGAAACTTGAAATATTACAAAAACAACAAATAAATATCAAAAAAGAGAAAAAAAAACAAAAACAACATAAAAACTGCACACAACAGAACAGAAAAAAAATAACATTCCATTACATTGACGAATTGGAAGAAGAAAAAAATTTATAAAAAGTGAAGTTTTTTAAAGGAAACTATTAAAAAAATGTGAAAATTTTAAATAAATTAAATTTCCATAAAAATGAAGTGAAAAGTAACATAAATTAAAAGGAATTTTGTTGGAGGTTTTAAGGAAAAAACAGAAAATTTCTGGCATTTTTTTTAACTGCAAAAAAGTGATAATTTTTGAAATTTAGTTTTTAAGTTAATTTTTTTTTCATATTTTTATTATATTACCTTTTTAATTTTGTTTATTTTCTGTTTTTTTAGCATTTCTTAAAGTTTTTGTTTAATAACTGGGAAATATTTTGCCAAACCCGAATAATTTTCAAAAGAATTTAAGAATTTCATACAAAAAAAAGTGAGAATAAAAAGAAATTTCCTTCAAAATCTTGTGCTAGTGTGTGAAAATACTAAAGAAACAACAACAACAACAAAGAAGAAAAAAACAAAAACAAGTTAAGCTGTGCTGTGTGTCTGTCGGTCTGCTATTTTTTTTTAGAGAAGTGCGAGTGCGCAAATGTCATATTTGATCTTTTAACATAAATTGCAAAAGAGAGAAAGAGATAGAATGTGAGTGCCAAAGTAAAAAAAGAAACACAATACAAGTGTACAACAACATAATACAGAGAAAAACAGCAGCAGCAGTAAAAGAAGCAAAAAACAAATAAAAACAAAACGAAAATACTAAAAATAAAGTGAAGTGAAGTAAATAAATAAAACAAAAACTTTAAAATAGAAGAAGAGAAAACAAAAAGGTGCACCTATTAGAAAAAAAAACAGCAACAACTAACCATAACAGTAATAAAGGGAAACCACAATAAAAAACAACAACAACTAAAACACCAAAAACACAAATTAACCAGAAAAAGAAAAGAAGTTTAAAATAAAATTTATTTTAGATTTCGAGGTGCAATGGAATTTCAAATCCCAGCCAGCAACAATAATAATCACTACGACAACAACAACAATAATAAAACAAAAGCAAAAGACTAATCCAAAATAGAAAAAGAAAAAACCATACAATACTAAACAAAACAATTAATATTAATAAGAAATATTACTGAAGAAATCCTCAAAAACCAATAAGAATTTTGTTAAAATAATTTCCAGCAACAAAATGAGTTAAATTTTGTAATGCTTTAGAAAAAACTATATTTAAAAAAAAATTTCTTAATTTTTTCTTTTAATTTATTATTTCTTTAATTTGTTTTGCTTTACGTTCAAACACAAATATTGTTTATTTCAATTAAACACTGCAACAGAAAATTTATAAAAAAAAAACACCAACCACTTGCCAAATTTTATAACATTTCCTTTCTTTTTCTCTTATTATCTCTTACTCTCTGATCCTTCTTCTTACTCTCTCACACCACGAAATTCTTCATTCATCCAATTTCAACCCAAAAAATTATGAAGAATAATCAAAAGTCTACGAATACCAATAATAATAACAACATCAATAACAACAATTTAAATTATCTTAATAATAAAAATAGCAACAACAACAACAATTTAACTGCAACGGACGGCCATAAACTCTCCAAATCGGCTTCTTCACCCAATAACAATATCAACAACAATAATAACGCCAAAAAAGGTCTTAAAAGTAAATCAAAATCCCATCGTTTGGTTGGCCGCTCGAGTAGCAACAACAATAGTAGCGGAGGAGGCGGGGGTTTTGGTAAAAAAATGGGCGGCGGCGTCAAAGATGCCCGTCGCGGTTTGGAGCCGCTCGAATTTGAGGAGTGTATCGTTGATAGTCCAGAGTTTCGGGATAATTTAAATCGTCATGAAAAGGAATTGGATCATACTAGTCATCAGATTAAGAGAATTATTAAGGAGGTTAAGGATCTAATGAGTGCTGCAAAAGGTGAGTGAAAAAGGAATATATTTTAATATCTATTTATATCTTAAAGGAAAGCTTAGATTGTAGGGCAGTATTTCTTTAAAATAGAAATGCTCTCTGGATATTTTTGTGTTTTTAATAAACATTAACTTTTAGGATCCTTTGAGGTTCTTACACTTATGTACAACAGTTTTGTGAAAGATGCCTATAAGAGAGCTTGAGGTTCCACCAACTTTTAAAGGATATTTCTACATGATTCTTTAATCTTCTCTAGGAAAGTTTAAAGTTTCTTATACTTTTCTAGGACGGTTTGATCTTTAGGTTCCTTCAAGCAATTTTGAACTCCTTGGGAAGACTTTAATGTTCCATAGAACAGTTTTGTAAAACAATTTAAGGTTCCGCAAACTTTTATAGAATAGTTTGAGCTACACAGAACTTCTACAAAATATTTTGAGGCTTAGGACAGTTTGAGGTTCTTCAAACTTCTATAGGACAGTTTGAGCTTCCTCAAACTTTTATAGGACAGTTTGAGGTTCCTCAAACTTCTATAATTCAGTTTGAAGTTCCTCAAAATTATATAGAATAGTTTGAGGTTCCTCAAACTTCTATAGGATAGTTTGAGGTTCCTCAACTTCTATAGGATAGTTTGAGGTTCCTCAACTTATATAGGATAGTTTGAGGTTCCTCAAATTTCTATAGGATAGTTTGAGGTTCCTCAAACTTCTATAGGATAGTTTGAGGTTCCTCAAACTTCTACAGGATAGTTTGAGGTTCCTTAAACTTCTATAGGATAGTTTGAGGTTCCTTAAACTTCTATAGAACAGTTTGAGGTTCCTTAAACTTCTATAGAACAGTTTGACGTTCCTCAAACTTCTATAGAACAGTTTGAGATTCCTCAAACTTCTATAGAACAGTTTGAGGAACCTCAAAAGTTTGAGGTTCCTCAAACTTTTATAGAACAGTGAGGTTCCTCAAACTTCTATAGAACAGTTTGAGGTTCCTCAAACTTCTATAGAACAGTTTGAGGTTCCTCAAACTTCTATAGAACAGTTTGAGGTTCCTTAAACTATAGAAAAATTTGAGATTCCTGAAACTTCTATAGAACAGTTTGAGGTTTTTCAAGCTATAGAAAAAATTGAGATTCCTGAAACTTCAATAGGCCTGCTTTAAGGCAATCAAGCTTCTATAGGACCGTTTGAATTTCTATAGGATAGTTTGAAGCTCCTTTAAATTCTGTGGAACATTTTGTGGTTCCTTAAACTTCTGAAGAACAGTTTCAGCTATTTTATAGTAAATCTTGAAGTTCCTAAAAATTCCTATAGGATACCAGACTTCTGTAGAACAAATTTCGGCTGAACAAACAACTCAAACCCAACGACCCTATACCGGAGAACTAATTTAGACATCTTTCTGTTTCTTTTTCTCTTTTATTAGATTAGAGAATCTTTTCACCAGCATTCCGGAATATTGAAACTATCGAGATTATAAGATTGTCTAAAATTTTTATCTGGAAAGAATTTCTTGAATAAAAGATAATAGAAATTTATTATATATACAATCTCTACTATAATAAAAATACCTCAATTTTCATCAAATATTTCAATGTCGGTAGAGATTACTATACAAATTTTCATGGGTGTAAACTAAAGTTCATAGACTTGTGCCTTCAAAAATCTTCTAAGATAAGAATACATTCCTCCGCTTATTATCAAGTTGTTTCAGTTTCTGTTTTTGGATTCTTTAAAAAAAAGTATAAAATAATATTCCTACTACAACTTATGGCTGCTTGATACAAAAACAGATAAAAATTATTATTTTCTTTTTAAAATATTAGAATATTTCTCCAACTAAATTGAAAAAAAAAAACAACAACAACAGAAACCATTAAATTAAGATAAATCGTTTTTATTACTGTTTATATACAAAAATTTATCTGTTTAAACAAAAAGTACAACAATCTTTAGAGTACTTCGGCAGCGAGTGTCAGTGTGTTCAACTTGTAAAAAATAGTTGTAAAGAAAATAATTTTCTTATCTTAATTTTCGTGGTGTTTCATATTTTTTTCTACTTAATTAACAAGCGAGAACAGCAGTTTGTTTTTTAAGCTGAACATTTGTAAATTTTGTAAAAAAAATAAATAAATTCTTAAGAATTTTAACTTTTTACACAAAAAGATTTTGTTTTTGGTTTTAATGAGAGAAAACTTTAAATTTAAATTTATAATGACAATGAAGAAAATCTCAAAGAAACTACAATTTTCCCACCTTTTAAAGGGTTAATGTTAAATATAAATTTCCATGAACAAACTTTACTTAAATCAGTTAAAACCCTTGAAATAATAAATATTTTGCAAAAAAAAAAAAAAAAAAATAATCACATAAACTTTAAAAGACAAATGATTCACAGTCAGGCGATTATTTTTTGTGTTGAACATTCTCTCTCTTTTTCATCTTGACATTAACTCTGAATATAACCTCGTTCACTTGATCTTGTATTTGAATTTTTTTTTTTCAAAAACGAAAAAACCAGCTGTTAATTAACAATCTTATTTAATTGTAGTTGAATTTTTTTTTTAATCTTTAACAATGAAACATACTTGTCGTCTGTTTTTTCTCTTTTTTTTATTATTTTCTGAAAAATAAATTTTCAAACAAAGAGTCACGTGAGCCTTTGTTATGTGTGACTCCTAGAAAAAAACCCTTAATTGTGGTTGCAAGATAAAAAGCCATAAATGTACAACTGATTGTGGCACTGGCACTGTGTGTATGCGTACTAATAGTAGTAGACCAAGGGCCCTCTTTTTGTAAAACAAAAAAACTTGTTAAGATGCAATTTAAGTGCTCTTGAAACAGTTGTGTAAATATATAAACATTTTTTAACAAATATAAATATTTATTTTCTACTTTTGAGTAATATACAAATTTAAATTAAACATTTTTTTCTTTTAAAATTTTAACAGAGTTAAGGAATTTTTCTTAAAAAAGTAAGAAACGTTCCATTTTCTTAAAAAAATACGTAGAGAGATGATGACATCAAGAAGAACTTAACTTTCGCGGACTTTAAGTTTTAATACAGATGATGGAGGCACCTCAAAATTTCTTGTAGAAGCTAAATGGACCCAAAACGTTTCCTTTTAAAACAGAAACATCAGAAAAACTTCAAACTGTTTATAAAAATTTTAAGAACTTCAAACCTATCTGTAGAAACTCAAGGAACCTTAAACTGTTCAAAATAAGTTTGAGGAACCTCAAACTCTTCAAAATAAGTTTGAGGAACCTCAAACTTTTCTAAATAATTTTGAGGAACCTTAAACTGTTCTAAAGAAGTTTCAGGAACTTCAAACTATTCTCAGGAAGTTTTAAGAAACTCAGACTGTTCTAGAGAAGTTTTAGGAATCTCAAGCTGTTCTAAAGAAGCTTTAGAAACTTCTAACTGTTCTATTGAAGTTTGAGGCGCCTTAAACTATTCTATAGAAGTTCGAAAAACATCAAACTTTCCTATAAAAGGTCAAAGAACCTCGAAACTGTTCTATAAAAGTTCGAGAAACCTCAAACTATTGTATTGAAGTTCGAAGAGCTCAAACTGTTCTATAGAATTTCGAGAATTCTCAAATTTTTCTATAGATTTTCGAGGAACCTCAAACTGTAATATAGAATTCCGAGGAACCTCAAACTGTTCCATAGAAGTTTGAGGAACCTCAAACTGTTCTACAGAAGTTCAAGGAACATCAAACTGTTCTATAGAAGTTCGAGGAACATCAAACTGTTCTATTGAAGTTCGAGAAACCTCAAACGGTTCTATGGAAGTTGATAGAAACTCAAACTGTTTCTTGAAGTTGGAGGAATCTCATACTGTGCTATAGAACTAGATGGAACCTCAAACTGTTCTGTTAATGTCTGAGGAAACTCAAACTCGGGGAACATCAAACTGTTCTACAAAAGTTCAAGGAACCTCAAACTGTTCCATAGAAGTTCGAGAAACCTCAAACTGTTCTATGGAAGTTTGGTGAAAACTCAAACTGTTTCTTGAAGTTGGAGGAATCTCATACTGTGCTATAGAACTAGATGGAATCTAAAACTGTTCTATAGGGGTTAGAGGAACCTCAAACTTTTGTATAAAATTTCAAGGAACCTCAAACTCTTATATAGAAGATCGATGAACTTTAAATGGTGCTATAATAGTTCGAGGAATCTTAAACTGTTCTATAGAAGTTCAATGAACCTCAAAGTGTTTTATAGAAATTCGAGGAACCACAAACTAGTGTAAAGATGTATAAGTTGGAAGAAATCCAAACTGTTCTATAGAAATTTTATAGAAACTAAAGCTTTAAAACGTCAAACTATTCCCTTGTAGTCTGAGGAGTCTCAGACTATTCTGGAAGTTTTAGGAATCTTAAAAGGGCTTATAAAAGTTTAAGGAACTTCTAACTGCTCTTTATAAGATTGAGGAACGTCATTCTGTTCTACGGAAGTCTGAGGAACCTCAAATTGCTCTATAGAGGCCGCAGAAACCTCAAACTGTTCTATATAAGTCTGAGTTACCACAAACTGTTCTATAGAAGTTCGAGGAACCTCGAACTGTCCTACAGACGTTTGGAGAACTGTTCAATAAAGCTGGGAGGTAATTCAAAATGTATAATAAACTTTATAAATCAATTTAAAATTTCGCTTTAGACTTCATTTATATTTATATCAGTTGACCCTGAAAATTGTGGCAAACTTCTAAAATTTATTTCAAAATTATTTGACTATAATTAGCAATTCGTTTTTTTTAAATTTTTTGCAAATTCACAAAAATTAAAACAATAAATTATTAAAATAGCAAAAAAAGAACTAAACTAAAACAAGCCAGTAATAAGCGAAACCATTTTCATTAAATAAAGTGGAACAAAAATCAGCAGTGATTTAAAGAAAAAAAGCAAACAAAATCCAGTAGCTGAAAAAAATCAAATTATAAAATCATGACTTAGAAGAACAGAAAATCTAGATGACTGTTCCAAAAAAACTGAGTCAGAAATTAAAAAA